TATATATATAATGCAAATAAAAGATGAGAAGTTCTGTGTCTATTGACCAAAGTTATAAAGATTAATTATGTAGTATTTGCAGCATGACAGTTATTACAAGTATATGGATTAGGATGAACAGAAATACTGGTTTTTGATTGTTTATTGCATAATGCACCAGATTATTACACCATCACATTTTGTAATAATTGCCGCAAAATGTAATAACATTATTACATAATGCGTTGAATACTTTTATTACATTTTGCGTCAATTATTACATAATGCGGTTTTAGCATGAGTTTATTTCATTTTGAAGCCTGATTTTATTACATTATTACAAAATGCGTTGTTATTACAAAATGAGGTCTTACAGTCCCCAACTGAATGGTTTGAATGTGAAAGAGAACCATGATATGTGTCCTTTAAAAATAGGTTGTTTTTCTTTCTACTGGACTTCTTTCTGATTCAACAGTTTCATTCAAAGTGTTTCACCACCAGCATCTATATCATACAGTCTAGCCCTACTGCAGGACCTAATAAGATTTTGCAGAAAATTACAGATCCAAGCTCTGAGTTTGTTAAAAAAAAAAAAGAGGGAACTGCAGGTACTTTGAACACGTAATGATGATAACCATTTAGGTGTTAGGAACAGAAAAGTGGAAAGAGCTGCGTGTATGAGAACGAGGATTAAATCGCATCAGGTGAAGTCACCCCTGGTGTCAAACCCACCTGGAGATCTTACCAATCTCCCTGTGGTTCATGGTGTTCAGGACTGAAGCATCGCCCACCCGCTTGCGGATCCACAGCTCGACCCCAATGCGAGTGTAGAGGAACAACATGGCCGCCAAGGGTAGCAGGAAAAGTGCCACCATGATGAAGGTGGTGTATGCCTGCCTGTACGTCAGGGAACGCCAGCTCTCCTGACAGCACACGTGGTAGTGATCGTACAGGAAGTCGTACTTCACCTGGAGACGGGACGCAGAAAACTTTTAGCCGACACAGATCAGATACTTCAAACTGACAAGCAGGACTTATGAGTTTTTATGATCTGATATACGATGGATTTGTGACGATTGTTCACAAGCTCAGTTGTAGGCTGCAGCTTCCTCGAAGTCGACTTCCTTTTATCTTCTCAGCAGTGAAACAAACTCTTGGTGTTTAGCTCAGATTTTTCCCAGAGTTTTGCTTGATGCGGGCTGACTACAAAGGACCCACTTGAAAACACAATACAATTTTCAGTCTATGGTACCACCACTCATACAGAGACACTCTGYTGTTTGTGAAGTTATTGCATTTCAAATACACTCACTCTCTTACTGCAGCTCTTGAAAGTTTTATTGACGTCATATGTCAGGAAAGAAAATTAAAAGGTGTCCAATTGAGTTTTGGGATTATTCCACTCTTAGGGCTAAAGTTAGCCTCCTGGGTTCAGCTTGAATTCAAGACATTTCTAGCCAAGCGTGAACTGATACAGAATAAATTCATCCTTAAGTCTTGGGCCGTGGTTATCTGTTTGCTTTTAGATGAATTCCTATCTGAAGAGAAGAATAAGTATCCTGAGATGTTGGAGGAGATGTGAGAAGATTGACAGGTTCCCTCTTTGGCTCCACCTCACCAGACTAGATGATTACAGCATCTTTTTCTGCCTACTAACACAGAGCTGCTCATCCTTGTTCAACGCACTGCTGTTAACACTTTCTGAGCTGGACAACAATGCATCACATTTTAAGTAAGTTTAATTTTGAATATTGCCCAGACTAAATGGAATGAGCAAGACAGTCACCAGTTGAGGAACACAGCTTTTGCCAGCAGGTACACTGAATAGTTCAGGTGTTGCTGACTTAAATCCTTCTTAAAGGTCTGATTATTTTGGAAGTGTTCTATCAAATATTTAGTCATTAGCTGTAAAATTAGTCACACAATATGAAAATAAAGCATGTCTTTATTTTCTACTGCGTGTCTATGATAGAGTCATGGAAGCAACAGCTCCAGGAGAGAAACCCAGACATCCCTCTCCCCCCCACAAGCAACACCATCCGACTATTCTTGGGGGACCCCAAGGCGTTCCAAGCGAGAGAAGACAACATGGAGATGTGAAAAAAAATCACATAGTACAGGGTTCCCGCAGATCCTTAAAAAGTCTTAAAAGGCCTTGAATTCATCAATCCAAAAATAAGGCCTTAATTAGCCTTAAAATGTCTTAAATCAATCTTACAGAGGTCTGAAAAATGTTAACACATTATAAATAGGATGACTGTATTTGTCTCAAATATTAAAATAATTGGTAACATTTTTTTTTAAATTTACCAAATTATCCGCAGCTAGTTGTTTTGCATTAAAATAAACATTTGGGTAAAAATTTAATTTTTTTCACATTTGTGTTTATGTGAAGTTGTTAAATTTCCTTTCAAGTGCCATTAAAAAGCATTAAAAAGGCTTAAATTTAACTTGCCTTAAGCTGTAGGAACCCTGTAGTAGCTAATATTAAACTTGCACACTGAGCTGATACTGAACCACACCATTGTTGTTTGGTAAGGTTAGAGTCAGGAATGTGAACCTCAGTAAATACATCTTTATTGTAAGTATCGCAATAAACATATGCATGCTATTGTCTATGACAGTGCTTTCCAAGTGGGGGCTGCCTTCGAAAGCTTGAGGGAGTGGAGGAAAAAAATGCATTAAAATAAGTAATTCTAAAAAATGTTTTAAATCATTATCATAAAATTGAAACATTTTAAATATAATTTAACTCCAAATCAAGATTTTTTTGCAGATAACCCGTATATTGTGTTTTAAGGGTATTATCTTAATGTTTCTGTGCGAATTGTGACTTTTTTTGTAGATTTGTTTAATTCCGCGACCATCTTGGTGCTCCCCTCTATAGGTTGAACGGTGGCTACTGCAGTTGAATTTTCCTATTGGTTACAACGGTACATGCTTGCTACACGCTTACGTCACAGCTTCCTGTGTGCGGGTATAAAAGTCTCTCATTCAGTGACACGCCCCTGCAGCGAGTCAGGAGTTGGAATAGCGAGCTCTGTGATGAAAGTTTGTCACTGCTTTGAACATTAGCCCATGTTAGCAAATGATGCTGCTAACATCACTTTAACACTCATAAACTGGACCCATTCTGTCATTCATTATCTCGCAGCACCAACTTCTTGCATTGCATAGTGAAAATAGCTTTTTTGACTTGAATCTTAGAGTGGCATTTTCCTGTACATTCAGCTAGAGGCAGCTATAGAAAGCTACTGAGTAATGAGTTGTTCAGAGGGTACTTACCTCTAGCTGTTGCACAAATAGCATTGGTGAACCCACCAACACTGAGGCAATCCATACCAGCCCTGCAGGATGCAGACAAGTATGTCATGAAAATGGTAATAGGTATATCAGCAGATAAAGCTTTTGCTTCAACTTCATCCAGGAAAAAAAAAGAGTTATGACCCAATGTATATAAATAGCTGCCAAGGAAATTCAAGGACCACTTTCTGCATGACCAGTGCCAAACAGTAGTTAGCTGTCAGTTTGAATACTTCTTCATGTGTAAACTGCCAGAGATGTTTTTTTGATCTTTGTTCCATTAGTGTGAAACTATATTTTGCTTACATAACTAAATGTGGCATGACTCCGGGGGTCGACTATGCTGTTTACRACAAAAACTGCACCAGAAAAATATGAAAGCAGAATCAAGAGGAAAGAGCTGCTTTCAGTCCAAATTTGTTCACATGGGATTTGTGTGTTTGCTGGTATTCAGACACTTTCATTTAAATACAAATTGATGAACATATTATAAGCAAATTGTAAGCTGCCTTTCTGAATCGGGTTGACTTGAAAACCTAATTATTTATAGATGCACATTCCATTGTAAGGAATTGTTCAAATTGGAAACCTGAATGATGCACAGAAAAACAATGTTTATTTTCAGATAAAGACTCCATTTCACTCTGAACCTGTCTGTGGCTTCAGGATCTAAACAAAAATAGCTGCAAAACACGTGTTCAAATCATGTTTATAGAAACCCTGGTCAACCCCCACCCCAGGGGTGAACCCTCTTACGTTAGCACCGAAATGCCAGAAATTAGGGATGCACAATATATCGGCAATCACTTTGGTATCAGCCGAAATTGGTCATATTTTTGAATATCATATCGGTCCGATAATTTAAACTGGTCTGATATTAACATCCGGTATTGATTTCCCACTTTGCCTTTCTGTTTTGGGAAAGAGGGTTGGTCTAGCGGTATCTATTTGATCATGATAGTGATGCTGCGCAGCCAGGAATAACTGAAGTATATCCATATCAGCCATAGGCATCAACAGTCTGGTCATTTTTTACAATATCAAAAAACTCACAAGTGTGTTTAAGTAAATATTGGTTATCGGCAATAACAACAAAATTCATATCGGATGTCAGATCGATATCTGCTGGAATTTTCACAACGGTGCATCTCTACCAGAAGTGTAAACTATTGTATGTTTACCCTGTTGGAGAGACTTGTTGATTCTAGCAACTACAATCCGATAGCTCATGAGATATTTTGTTAACAGACAGACAAACACAAGCAAAAACGTCAAGGTTGGAAAACTAGATTACCTAACATCTTGTAGGCTCTTTTGGATGAGTACTGCTGCCTCATTTTCAAGGGGAAGACAATACCCTGATATCTCTCGATGGCGATGCAGGTCATTGTGAGGATGCCTGTCACGATGGCTGTGGTCTGAACGAAGGGAACAGTTTTGCAAACCAGAACCCCTAAAGAAAAACCAGAGAGGGATGACATCATTGTAGTCCCAAAAAGATGGAAATGTTAGCAAAAATCAGCAAGTAAATCAGAAGCCGAAGATCTTTTCCCGCAACGGTAAAAGTGCCAAAACAACCATCCTTGACTCTGAGGCACAGCAGTGGCAGATATTACAGGTAATGAAGCCCAGAACAGCAACAGACAGAAACTACCCCCAGATGCCCCCCATGAACTCTCTCTGACAGCAGATCTAGATGCTTTCAGCTCACTGTGCTCCTGCTGAGTTACGCTCAGTATAGCTGCTGCTGGCCACATCTTTGTTGGTCACAGCGCTGAGAGCTGAACCTCCTTGATAAAGCCACGTAATTATCTCCCACATGTAAAGCAAATAATTGGCACTGAGTCAGAAAGGTTGGAAATGTTTCAGGTCTCTGGAGCTTTTAAAGGGTCGTTGAGCGTTGTCAGCTGTGGATAGTGTAACAATTAAAATAACTTCACAATATAAAAATATTTGCATATGGTGAACCCACATGGAAGGAGGATTTTTTTATATTATATTTTATTTTATTTTACGTTTTTTTTTATTAATACAAAAAGTATAAAATGTGTGTTTTTCTGCTCTGAGCAGCAGGGTTATTTTTAGACACCTTTTAGGGCTTAAATCCAGCACAGGTCAGACGGGTCCAGGACTGGCTGAATGACTCCAGACTCTATCAGCTGTCCATTCTGACTCATGCTGCTTTTCTTTTCTGGAACAAAAAGCCCTGATCTCTATGGTGGAGAGAGCAATCTCTCAAAAGTTCTCTTTAGATCTGCTTTTCAGCTGTAAAAGAATTCAAGTTAAAAAATGGAAGAAAGAAAGAAAGAAATCTCAGTAAAAACAACACAAAACAACACAAGTTGTTGTCTTTTTCTCTAATAAGACGTCAGCAAATCTCAACTTTTATTGCACCAGCCTATTTTTTTTATTTGTTTCAAACTCATCTGTGATATTTTATCATATTTGATCTTTATTGCTTTGACATTATTACTGTTTTTTTTTTTGCCTTACTCTTACAGCACTTTGGTCAACAAAGATTAATTTTAAATGTAGGCTACTAATGTAATTTTAACTTGAATATTATTATTCCCTCCTTATTTCCATGTTTACAAAAGAGGAATCACTCCTTATAAAAGATTCAAACAGGTTGTCTCCTAAAAACTTTCTTTCTTTCTTTCTTTCTTTCTTTCTTTCTTTCTTTCTTTCTTTCTTTCTTTCTTTCTTTCTTTCTTTCTTTCTTTCTTTCTTTCTTTCTTTCTTTCTTTCTTTCTTTCTTTCTTTCTTTCTTTCTTTCTTTTTTGGCTCTAATATGTTTTGTCTGAGCTATGTTCAGTACAGATTTGCTAAGATGAACAATACATATTTTTTTTCTTTTTTTTTTAAACTTTTTAATCAATTATATGTTTATCTTGGCCCATAGGGAGGGCATCCTCCAAGCTGAGAGTTCGAATCTTCAATGTAAAAAAAAATCTAATGAAGAGTAAAGACGGAGAGAGATTCTATGATGTTAGAATATTAAGATATTTGAAGAGTGCCTTAAATTACACAATTCTTMCATGGATGCAACAGAAAAAACCTGAATTAAAAACTACAGTAACTCAGAAAAAGTGTTTATTGATAAAATGTTTGTTTTTTTCCAAATCCACAAACTCCAGAGTGTCTTTGATTTTTTTTTATGTTGGCATCTTACTTTAGAAGCCTTGTTTACAACTAAAAAAATGTTTCAATCTGAATTTTTCCACAGGCGATGAGCAACATTTTTGATATAATCTAAAACTGCAGGGACCAATCTATTTCCTGCAACATTTTAAGCTTTTCTGCTGAATATGTTTCCTCTGATTTTCTCTGCAAATGTCAGGGAAGCTGTGAAGAGAAATGGGAGGTTTATGTGAAGTGTTTCTTTGTTTTATTGCTTTTCCTCTCTGATTACAAACAGTGGAGGACTTTTGGGAGCAAATTTAATCTTATTTTCGTCTTATTTACTTATATACTTATGAAGCTTTAATGAACGCGTCATGATTATTCTAGAGGAACTTTAATAAAAGTTGGCGTCTGCTTCAGACGCGCGCCTGCTCTCTTAATTAACCCCCACGTGCGCTGAGTGACGTTAACGAGCCAACACGAGCTGGAACTCACCGCCGAACCACTCTGAGGAGATGTTCTGCAGCAGGGTGAAAGGAATGCAGAAGAAAGTGATGAGCAGGTCGCTGACGGCCAGAGAGCAGATGAAAATATCCGTGGCCGTCTGGACGGCTCTCTTCTTCAGCACGATGTAGATGACCAGGCTGTTCCCGGCCAGAGCCAGGACGAAGATCACCGCGTACATGACCGCGAAGGTGGTCTTGGCGCCGTGCGGCAGCTCGGGGATGTAGACCAGCGGCTGGATGTTGTAGGTGTTGATGAACTCCTGTCGGCTCAGGTTGTAGAGCTGGAGCATCTCCTGCAGAACTTCGGGGGTGATTTTGGAGGAAGCTGCTGCCATCCTGACGAACTTACAGGAAACTGAAGGAAGAAGAGGCTCAGAGGTTCTCTCCAACCCGCAGGTGCGTCTGGATGCTGCGCTGACTCACAGAGCTCTCTCTCTCTCTCTCTCTCTCTCTCTCTCTCTCTCTCTCTCTCTCTCCTCTCTCCTCTCTCCTCTCTCCTCTCTCTCCTTCCTTACACCTATTTTTTTATTTTTATTTTAGGTCTGAAAATCCATAGTGGCTGACAGAGTTATAAAGTAACTAAGTACAAATACTTTGTTACTGTAGAATTTCTGGGTATCTACCTGAGTAATAATTTTTCAGCCCACTTTTTACTACTTCTTACATTTTCACTCCTTATATTAAAAAAAAAAGCAAGAAGTAGAAAGTCGTTACTTTTATTTCATTTTTGCTTGTTTTCATTGCAGCTTGTTATTGTAAAAAAAATTAATACTTAATTCTTAATACTAGCGGGTAAAATAAGTATTGAACACGTCACCATTTTTCTCAGTAAATATATTACTAGAGGTGCTAATGACATGAAATTTTCACCAGATG